CCACATCTGGGCCAAGTTGGGGATGGTGGACCAGGGCCCAGCAGCTTCTGAAGCCCGTACATCTGAGGAGAGGATGAACATCCTATGACCAATGTGCATGTGATCCTACCAGGCCGGGTTCCCAGCAGGGGGACATTAGGAAGAGGGTGTCAGTGAGTGACCGGATGGGAGGAGACCCACAGCTGAGGCCATCGTTCCCCATCAGCACGTGGGTGACAAATGACCAGAAGAACAGGGTGACTGAGACATTGGGGTTGTATAAAATGTTACCCAGGGAGGAAAGCAGGAGCTCAAAGTTAGGTTCACTTCGGGTTCAGAGTCTGTCTTTTTTTTTTTTTTCCGGCCACACCGAGTGGCTTGGGGGATCTTAGTTCCCTGACCAGGAATTGAACCTGGGCCCCCTGCAGTGGAAGCACCAAGTCCTAACCACTGGGCCTCCAGGGAACTCCCCAGAAGTCTGTCTTTTAAAAAGGATTAATTTATTTAGAATTTAAAGATCACCAAAGAATTGAGGATGACTATCTGGTCTTTCTTACTAGAGAGTGAGAGCCAGGTTCGGTTTACTAACCAATGATACAGGTTAACTGTATTTACTGAAACCCAGCATTCAGTATGGCTCTGATACTAACTTTAGTTCCTTCTCATGAACGCTAGTTCCTTGGCCAGGGGGGCAGAGGGAAATCTCTTGCCTAGGCTGCGTTTGGATCTTCACTACATTTAGCCACCCTCATTTTGCTTTTCTGATTCTCTCCTGTGGGACCCAGACCGGTTTCCATCAGATAAACCATGTGCTTGCGTCAGGGACTTGTTTTCTACAGGAGTCCTATTTTCTGACCTCCTCTATGCTGTCTCACTGGAGCAAACTCGCTGGCAGGTAGCAATGAACCTGGTGTCTCCCCAGCTCACCTGCACACCTTTGAGGGGAGCTGGGTTTGTTCCTAAACCCGCTGATGCCCGTGGTTCATGTTATTGTACTTAGGAAATGTGATTACACACTAAGAAGTCAGCCCATTAACTATTACATACGGGAATATAACGAGTGTAAAAGGGAGAACTGCTTCTCTGAAAGCTGAGTTGAATGATTTGGAAAGATTCAATACAGGTAACTTAAAGATTTGCTTTAAAGTAAGTGTAGGGGAGACTGGGGGAAAATAATTTAAGAACGGAAGCATTCTGTACTGAAATTGCTTTTCAACGGTCTGTAAGATCTCCTGCCCATTTAAAGTAATCAGAATTTGAAATTGTAGAAAACACATTATAGGTGTGATTTATGCAAAAAAGGAGACAGCAAGAATCCCCAGTTGGGGCACTGCGCAAAGAAAAGGCTTTGGCCCTGGGTCAAAATACTGGCAAATAATTGGCCATATATATGTGTTTTAAGGTAAAATAAAATGTTTAAAGTATTTATATAATTCCTAAATCACCGATTCATCCATTTAACACATACTTATTGAGTGCCTACTGTGTGTCAGTGTTCTCAGCTCTGGGAATGCAGAAATGATTCAGACCAACCAAGTCCCTGTGCTCAGAGTCGGCAGGAAACAGGCGTGTAATATATACCTGTGACGTCATGCACCTCTGTGAACCGTGCAGGTGAGCAGAGCCGGTGATGGGGTGAGGAGGCAGGGGCAGGAAAGGCCTCTGTAATGAGGACACGTGAGAGCAGAGAGGGAATCCCGTGGAAAGCCACGTGGAGATCAAAGGGAAGACTATAGGGGCAGAGGGACCAGTGGGGCAAGACCCCCAGCCGGGCCTGAGCTGGACGTACTGAAGGAACCTGGGGGAGCGGGTTGGAAGGCGAGTACTTCGGGGTGAGGAGAGACACCGGCAGGGCCAGGTCACCGTGGGGGTGACTTTGGATCTTACTCAGAAAATGAGGGAAGCCACGTGGTGGGAGGGGTGGGAGGAAGGAGCCTGGCTAGGTCTGATTTCTCATTTTATTTTTATTTTTATTTATTTATGTTTCTTGCGGTACGTGGGCCCCTCACCGCTGTGGCCTCTCCCGTTGCAGAGCACAGGCTCCGGACGCGCAGGCTCAGCGGCCATGGCTCACGGGCCCAGCCGCTCCGCGGCACGTGGGATCTTCCCGGACCGGGGCACGAACCCGTGTCCCCTGCATCGGCAGGTGGACTCTCAACCACTGCGCGACCAGGGGAGCCCTGATTTCTCATTTTAAAAGGCCGCTCTGCTGCTGTATGGAGAATTGAAGATAGAGGGGCAAAGGTGGAAGCCGGAAGTCACAAATGGCACAGACAGGGCCCAGCCAGCGATGCCCAGGAGGACGAGCAGGGAGGACCGGACGCCCAGGGCGGTGCGGGGAAGCGAGAGAAGCAGGCGGAGGCGGAGGGAGTGACCCCTACAAGCGGCCTGATGGACACGGAAGGGAGGGGGAGGGGGGCTTAGGGAAGGGACAGGGATGTTGGTGGGCGCGTCCCGGGGGGATGGGAGCGGAGGGGCGCCCTGGAGGGCGAGGTGCTGCGGCCTTTGAGTTCATTAGAGGGAAGAAGGCGGGACTGGGTTCAGCGACGACGAGGAAGCCTGCTTTCCGTCTGTCTCCGCAGCTGATGCGTCGGGAGGTGGGCCCAGGCCGCTCTTGCCCATTTTTGGCGGCGCCGCCCGTGTAAGCTGTTCAGCAGAATTCCGCAGAGGGAAAACAAGCCCGAGGCTGACACTTCTCAGGCTTTAGGTAGACGCTCTGCGGTTGGAAGGCTTTCGGAAAATGTCTGTTATGAGAATGTATTTTATATACAGGTGTCAGCAAGCTATTAAAAAAAAAAGTTCCCGGAAGCCTCGGGACCTGGCGCGGACCGGAAATATCCCGCATCCGGTCACCCTTGGGGACCAGGAATTTCTGGAGGGATGGAAGAAGGAGCATGGTTCAGAGATGTTACCCCGACGGCCTGGCTTTAATTTTCTGCCATTTCTGCCTCTACCCCGCGGTTCCGGCCCTTGGGAACAGCCGATGCCAACAGGTTGAAGATCCTAAACCTTTGAATTTTGCCCCAGCACAGCCCTGCTAGCCCTTGATAAGCCCGAGACCGGGAGGTGAAGGCAGACATGTGCTTTTTATAACAAGAGAGCCCCACGTGGGTCCTTACAATCTAGTGTGGCCCCCGTGAGGGATTCCTCTTTCCTGGGCTGGAGGCAGGTCAGGGCCCCGAACCCAAACAGGCTGAGTGGGCCGTGCTTCACAGCCCACACCTGCCTCTTTCCTGGTAGGAAACAGGCATTCCTGCCTAGAAAGGGCCTGCCCATCAGGGAGAGGCCAGAGCCCGGGCCTTCATCCCAGGATGAGCTGCCTACCTCCCTGGGCCGTCTGGGTGGGGAGGGGGCTGAGGGTACAGGCAGGATCAGGTGCCTGAGGGGACCAGAGGAGGAGAGGGTGATGCTTCTCCAGGCAGGACAGCTCCTGGGGGCGCTCGACCAGCTTTTATTAAGCTTTGAAAATATTGCTTTTACTGGTAAATAACAACCAGCATACCTAAAGTTGCATAAAAATATAGGTACAATTTAATACCTGCAGTCTAGAAATCCCCTGTGTGCATCTTTCTGGTCAACCCCCTGACCTCCCAGAATGACCAACAACCTGACTGTGTGATAACCATCTCTTTACTGCCCTTTATAGTGCAAGCATGCATGTGTGTACCTTGAACACTGTACTTTAGCGTTATTTCTAAACTGCACAGGAATGGAGTCACGTTCCATTCCTTTATCCTGCTTCTTTCTCAAAGCATCGTGCTTTGAGATCCATCCATGCTGTTGTGTGCAGACTTAGTGCACTGGTTTTCACGGCTTATAGGATTCTCTCCAGTGAGTAGACCACAGTTACTTATTCATTTGACTGTAGACTGGGAATTGGCCGTTGTACAGGGCTGCTGGCAGTGGGCAATGCTGTTATGAATATTTCTGAATATAAGTCACACGTGCAGTTTCTCTGTGGGCTGTACCTTGCGAAATGGAAGTTCTGGGTTTGCGTATCTGTAATTTTAAAGATGATGCTGAACTGTTTTTCAAAGAGGTATCTGGGTTGTCCAAATCTATATCCTTGCTGACTTTCATGTTTGTTAATTATGAAAAGAGTATGTCAAAATCACCTACTATGTGTGTAGATTTGTCTATTTGTCCTTTTAGTTCAGTCATTTTTTTTGCTTTATATACTTAAATCTAGGTTATTAGATATATCAGATTGTTATATCTTCTTGGTCAATTGATCATATTCAAAACAATTTTGATTTCAATGTAAGAATGTTGATAAGAGCACTGTGCATTGCCGGTAACGCCGGACAGCCCCACGTGGGAAACTGTCCAAATGTGATCATTTTGTCATTACGAAGTGACCCTTCTTATCTCTGTGGATGCTTTTTTTTTTTGCAGTACACGGGCCTCTCACTGTTGTGGCCTCTCCCATTGAGGAGCACATGCTCCGGATGCGCAGGCTCAGCGGCCATGGCTCACGGGCCCAGCCGCTCCGCGGCACGTGGGATCCTCCCAGACTGGGGCACGAACCCGCGTCCCCTGCGTCGGCAGGCGGACTCCCAACCACTGCACCACCAGGGAAGCCCTCTGTGGATGCTTTTTGCTTTGAAGTCAGTTTTGGACTTCTAACCTTGCTGCCTCCGGGATCCTAGAGATCCTAGAGAGCCAGAGGGAGTGAGTTTGCTGAGTGAGCCCAAGAGGGCAGGAGAGAGAATCAGGCTGACCCCCTTGAGCCGCCCGGCCCTTGGGGCTCAGAGAGGTTGGGGGACCCTCAGTCCACGCCCTCCTGGGGACTGGAAGGAGGCGGGGAGGGGGGAGCAGAGCCTTGAGGACAGCGCTCCCCATCGGAACACCTGCTGGGTGGGGGGTCAGCTGCCCACACACGGCTTTTCCACGTGCTCACCCCACCGCTCTGAGATTCGGTTTCTAAGGCTCTTGTTTCTATGCTGTGATGTGGTTGTCGACAGTATTTTCAGAGGAGGAGCTTTGAAATGCGAAGGCATTTATGGCAGTGGAGTGACTCAGGCTGGGGCTCTGCTGTGGGTGACTCAGGAGCTGGGCCCGGGGTGGAGGGTGTTCTGGGGCTCATAGGGCTTGTTACTGGGCAGTGAACAGGAGCCTAGACCCCTTCAACCGAGATGCAGCCTCCTCGGCTGCCCCGAGAGGCCGGCGGAGTCTGGAACTTGGGCTCGGCGACAGGACAGGAATGGAGCTGGCCCAGGCCAGCGGGTCATAGCTTCCATCTGTGTGCGTGTCAGTGCGGACACGGCGGCTGAAGCCAGATTCTGACTCACCCCCTTGCTCATCTCTGCCTAGTGTCACCTTAAAGCTGGTCAGCAGAGAGACCATGTGCGTCTGTGCACTTCACAAGTGGGGACCTTCCAGACCTGCCCGGCTTTCCACCTCACCAAGAAACGTCCTACCTTCTTTGAGCGCTCCAGCCCCCAAATCAGCGGTCCCCTGGTCCCACAGTCATTGGAATTGTGCCCTTGTAAGTAATAAGTTCACTAGTATGGGATCAACCAACACTGTCTTATTGGGTGAGTTCCAGTGTTTTTAATCTTCATGTATCTTAAATCTGATGTGGAGCCTAAAATCCCAAATGTACTCCTTCAGTCAGGCCCTCTGTGCTTTGGCGTCAACGGCCGGCATTCTTGTGTGTTCAGTAAACTCTCTTTGGGAAAGAAAGGGGTAAACTTAGATTCTCCTCCAGATCTACAGATGCAATTTCAAAATGACATCTCCACCGAAGGACCTAGATGCCCGCTGGCTGTGCATGCTGGGTCATTCTGTGTGTGTGTGTGTGTGTGTGTGTGTGTGTGTGTGACTGAGTGGTATTTGGAAGCCTGCATGCCTCTTTCCTATAGTTAGAAATTACTTGGCAGGTCAAAACAGTGAGCTCCAGGCCTTATTCTCTGTCTTGAATTTATAGACAAAGGACCTTAGCTCCTTGAGGCTGATGTGAGACAGCAACAACCTGTTTTAGCTCTTTTGTGGATGGGCCGGGACCAGTGTGCAGGGACATGGACGGATAGGGTGGGGACATGTGAGAAGGCAGGTCCAGGCCTGAGGGCTGTGGGTGTGACAGCGGGAGAAAGTTTGGACAGACGCTTATAAAGTAGAAAAGAGCAGAAAAACAGGTTGTGAGAGTTCAGGGGCCAGTTAAGTAGGACGTTTCATCTCATTCCTTGTGTGTTTTTCCCAGGGATCTAGAACTAGTTTTTCCTCCACAGTCATGTGCATCGTTGCCAGGGACACAGAGAAGACATGCCGGCCAGGGACACAGGGAGGAGATGCCGGCTCTTGCCTCCAGACTGGTCACCCTGTGGTACCACCTTGGGTTGGGCTGCAGCACTTCCTTCTTTTTAGGAGACATGGGAGCTCCAGAATCCATCTGTTTCCGAAGCAGAGTGTGTGATGCATGCGTTCCTCTCCCCAAAACACTTATTAAATGCTCTTCAGTGCAAGGCACTGCCTGCACCTACATTTTCCCACTGAAAATGGCTGGTGAGTATTGGCGTTGGTCAGAGTGACATGACTCCACGGAGCTGATGTACAGCTGAACGCCTCCCTTAACTTGGACGCAACTCTAGGGATGAAAGCAAAATGACCCACAGCCCAGGGATGTCACGGTCAGCTGGGCTTGCCCCCGAGTTCCTACCTCTGCAGCTGAGTGTGTTCAACACATGTTTGTGGGGATAGTGTCAAGGCATCGTGGAGATCAGGGACTTCAGTTGGAAGTCGATGCATCCTCGGGGTGTCTCTGACCCCCATCTGACAGTGCACGGGCAGGACCTGAGCATCCCCATGCTAAGAGCCGTAGCTGCCTCTCAGTGCCCTGCCTGGGGCTCAGGCCCTGTGCAGAGTAGGCTTGTTCCTAATCAAGCCAGAGCCTTGCATGGCTGAGGAAATCGGAGCCTGAAGAGTTCTGCCCCACCCCCCAGCCAGTCCCCAGAAGAGCTCAGCGGTAGCCCTCGTGTTTCTGGCCTCCGCTTGTGGTCTGTCCATTACCCTGCCCGGCATAGTTTCCATCTTTGTGTTTCTCGTTTCCCGCTCTCCAGAGAAGCTATCCAGAGGTGACTCGTGCTTGCACAGAGGGACACTTTCCTGGAAGCCCAAACACCTGCCCAAAGTCCTTGCTCTGCAGGATCCCCAGTAGGTGCCTCACCTGCTCTGCTCGTGCTCAAGCCTTAGGCCCCCGGCTGTGCCCCTCTGGTCTGCGAGTCATGTCCTGCTGTCTTTGCACCCCAGGGCCGAGCCCCACCTGGAATGCGGTAAGCGCTCGCTGTGGACAGAGCCTCCCTCCTTCCTCGCCCCCCTGCACCCCCAGCCCTTCCTCCTACAGCGCAGTGTCCTGACTGTCCCCCAGGGCCACCTGTTGGCCTTCTCAGCATGCCACGGTCTCCCAGGCTGTCGGATCCCTGGACAGCCCTGAGGGAGAAAGTGCTATGGGATCTGGGTCAATGGATGAAGCCAGGCAGCAGGGAGCGTCTGAGGGAGATGGACTGAGCTGCCTCAAGGTTCAAACCTAACTCTGGTTTCCTCCTTACAGGCCTGTGCGGGACCCCAGAAGGTGGGGGAAGGTAGCATTCAAGTTACTCTGCTGCATACAGGTTGGCAGTTGGTTCTGTGTTTGAAAGAGCAGCTAACGTTTAGCTGAGCCCGTGACAGGAGGGTTCCGGACAAAGGAGTGACCTATTTCTCACAGGGTCCTGCGTACGGTTTGGTGGCCTAGGGGAGCCATGAGTTTGCATCAGCGAAGGCTTCTGCCCAGGAAGCCCGTCCAGCTTATTCTGGGCAGTTGATGGGACTCCCTGCGGTCCAGGTGAGAAGAAACCTCAGCTCAGGGCTGGCCGTGAAGGGTTGGGGACCCCCCACCCCTGGGTACAGAGTGGCTGGAGAACTACCCTTATGACTTGACGGCGGGGTCCCGTCTCCCGCAGCCAACCCTGCAGGTGCAGCTGAGTCAGGAACCACAGACAAGGCGAGACTTGGGGCCCTGTAGCCCGGTGGTCGCGTTACAGGCAAGAGGTGACTTTTGGCTCACGTGATTCAAGACCTATTTTGTCACAGGAATACAAAGTAGCAAGACAAAGCAAAGAAGTCATTAACTGTTATTATTGTTGCTGTAGAGTTGCTTTATGTTTTGTTATAAAAACAAAATTCACCTGAGTAAACTTGAAGATCTGATTGGCTTTGTTAGCTGAGTCGTGAATTGGGCAGCATCCCATCCAGGTGGGAGCTCGAGCGGTTTTTATAGGGGGAAGAAGGGCGGGGAAGGGGAGCTATTAGCCAAAGAAAAGAAAGGATTGTTCCAGGCCAGGCTGATCTCTTTTGGGAGAAGGGGAGGCAGGGGTCGTACCTCACCAGCCTTGATCCGGAAATAGCAGATTGGCTGCTTTAAAGGTGACATTTCTAGGAGGAATTGAAGCTGCCATTAAGGGGCTTCCCTGGTGGCGCAGTGGTTACAAATCCGCCTGCCAGTGCAGGGCACACAGGTTCGAGCCCTGGTCTGGGAAGATCCCAGAGCCCGTGAGCCACAACTACTGAGCCCGCGAGCCACAACTACTGGAGCCCACCCACCTAGAGCCTGTGCTCCGCAACAAGAGAAGGCACCGCAGTGAGAAGCCCGCACACCACAAAGAAGAGTAGCCCCTGCTCCCCACAAGTAGAGAAAGACCGCGCGCAGCAACAAAGACCCAATGCAGCCATAAATAAATAAATAACAAAAAACAAAAACTCTAAAAAAAAAAGAAAGAAAGTGCCATGAAGTCTTGGTTCGCTGCGGGGTGAGGGTGAGGCACAAATGGCTCCACGTGGGGCTTGTAATTCCTTCTTCACCGTTTTCTCAGCCAGTGGCTCTGACATTTCTTGGAGTCCTCTCCCCTAAATGAACAGGGTAGGGTCCAGGGTGCGGTTTGGGCTTCCTTATAGAGTGTTTCATCTCATCTAACTTCTGCTCCAAAGTTGGTGAACTTCAGGCAAATTTTTCACCATGTGCACATGGTAAATACTTGGGTGATATTTTTATAGCACCCAAAATACTTTAAATTATAATGTTAGTGAATGAGAAAATAATAGCACACGAATCATCAAAATCACTCCCAGGATTTCCAGTGTTTAAGAACAGCCTGGCTCAGGGGGTGCTGAACCCAGAGTTTCCAGCTGAAATGGTACCCCCGTGGTGATACTGCATGTATAATAAAAATATATATTTGGTTTTGTACCAGGTTCCTGGCACAGGGCTTCTAGCCCCCTTGGAATTTCCTGAGCGATAGAGGTGATTGGAACCACTTTTGTTATTCATAGCAAGCCCCTTTTGACCTCATTCAAATTTATGTTAATGAGGTGGCTCTGGGAGGATGGAGACTGGTTGCCAGAGGGACCAACCCTGTGATTAAAGGATTGGAACTTTCAGCCTCCCCCCTGGACCTCTGGGGAGGGGGTAGGGCCGGAGATTGAGTCCGGTCTCCAAAGGCCAGGGATGTAATCCATCAGCCTTTGTAATGAAGCTTCCATGAAAACCCAAACTCAAGGGCTTTGGAGAGCTTCCAGGTTGGTGAACACCTGGAGGTCTGGGAGGGAGGCGCACCTGGAACTCTCCAGGCCCTCCCCACACACCTGGCCCTGTGCATCCCTTCCATGTGTCTGCTCCTGAGGTGAAGCCTTCATCATAAATTGGTAATAGTAAGTAAACTGTTTCCCTGGGTTCTGTGAGCTGTTCTAGCAAATTACTGAACCTGACGGGGGGTTGTGGGAACATCCAATTTGTAGCCAAGCTGGGCAGAAGTTGTGGCTAACCTGGGGAGCCACTCCCTGTGACTGGTGTCTGAGGCTGGGGACAGTCTTGCGGGATGGGGCCCTTAACCTGTGGTGTCTGGGCTGACTCTGGGCGGTCAGTGTCAGAAATGAGTTAAGTTGTAGGGCACCCAGTCAGTGTTGCTTGGTGTGGAAAAACCCACACTTCAGTATCTGAAGTGTGTGGAGTACAGAAGCCGAGGTTTTTCTTTTAACCATGGTTTGCAGTATAAACACAACTTATAGTTTCCCTGTCCTACCAGCTTTGAAATTGTGTGCTGCTGCTTTTTTCTTTTTTTCGGTACGCGGGCCTCTCACTGTTGTGGCCTCTCCCGTTGTGGAGCACAGACTCCAGACGCGCAGAGTCAGCGGCCATGGCTCACGGGCCCAGCCGCTCCGCGGCATGTGGGATCTTCCCGGACCGGGGCACGAACCCGTGTCCCCTGCATCGGCAGGCGGACTCTCAATCACTGCGCCACCAGGGAAGCCCAAAATTGTGTGCTTCTTGGTGAATCCTTACAATCTGCAAACATTCGAATCATTGGCAAAGTGAAGCTTTAATAATATTTTGCATGACACCATTTCAACTTTGCCTAGTTTGAATTAGTGTGAGATATATTCATTCACTGAACAAATCTTTTTGGAGTGACTTCTGTGGACCGGCGTCTTATAGGTGTTGGAGATTCAGCAGCGACAAAACCAAGTCCCCACCTCTGAGGACTTAATAGTTTCAAGGGGGGACTGACAATAAACAAATAACTGATATGATATGAGGTCAGGTAAGGTAAATTCGGTGAATAAAAATAAAGCAGAGGAAGGGATAAGGAAAGATGGAGGAAGAGGTGTGGTTTCAGATAGGTTACCAGACGGGGGGAGGGGAAGGGCAGAGGCAGCAGCAAGCAATCGGAGTGTCTGGTGACTTTTTAACACACACCTATGAACTGTGTCTTTGGGCAAGTGATTTACTTAATTTTTCTGAGTCTGTTTGCTCATCTGTTGAACCAGGTTGATAGCAATACTTGGCTCACAGGGTCGTGGTAAATATGGAATGTGATCATGTGCCTCAAACCTTTATCTCTGACCCCAGCACATACAGAGGATGTGCTGAAAACTAGGTGACTGTCACTATTATTATGACTATTGTGATTATTATCACCAGGAATAGTAAGGTCTTTGAAAGGACTTACTACCATTCAAGGCACGGGACTCGGGCAGAGCACGGAGGCAGCCTCTCCTGGGAAATGTCTAAACTGTAAACACGTCTGTGGATGTTTAAACACACTAACTCACTCTCCTGCTGACAGGCGCTGGTGAGGGCTGAGGGCGGGAGAGCTGAGCCCAGGGTCACTGAAGAGAGTGCAGAGTGGGATTTTAGAGGACACACTCATCATGAGTAGGTAACTTTAGGGCTGAAATTGGATATGACTTGAGAGTTCCTAGCCTGAAGGAGAAGAATGCCATCCAGATACCACTAATGCCATCTTCAGTATCTTTTGTGCATGCTCTATTGATAGGACGGAGCGTTTTGCAAGCTCCTATCAACACCCTGGAATTATGCTTAGTATGTGGAGAGAGGTGTACAAGTGCACACACACACACCCCTCAAACACGTGCAGGCCACCAGGAACAGGTGCAGCCCCCCCTCCAGGCCTCCCTCCTCCTCCTGTTCTCCTTTTCTGTTTTTTAAAGTTTTTTTTTTAAAAAAATCTATTTTTTCTAGTTGATAAAACCTATATTCAGGAGGGTTACAGGTGTTGATGAAATAAAGTATTTATTGATCAAAATCAGTAAATAATATACCGAAGAGAGAGTGGTGTTCAGAAGAAAGGATGTCTCCGTGTAAGTTTCCACTTCCAGTTAGTTTTGTTTATAACTCTTGTGAATTTGTTCCAAAGCAACTGATAGGTTAAGGAAAAATTTGAGCAAACGTGAACTTTGCGTTTGCCCGTGAGCATCAAGTCGTATCCAACTGAACTGAGCAGGGTAGGAATTCTCAACATGCGCACGTGCACACGCGTACACACACAGACACGAGCACGCACACATGCACAACGCGCACACACTCCTGTACAAACACGCACGCGCGCACGCACATACGCACAGCCCGCGTCCACGCGCACGCATGCGTACGCACGCACGCATACGCACGCGTACACACGCACGCACAGGCACGAGCACGCACAATGCACGCGTACGTAGGTAGCCGGACACCTCAGGCAGCTCCCGGCGAGCTCACTTCACCACGCCTGTGGTCCCAAAAGGCTGGGCTTTCCTCTGCTTTTGCACAGGTGAGCTTTTCTATATTAAAGAAAAAAAGAAGAAACAGTCATTCCACGCCGCCCACGTCTAAGGCTCCAGGCTCACAACTCCAGGGAGCGTGTGCGGGGAAGGCATCGTTTGTGTGCGCGCACCTTCACCCAAATCCGCGAATGCTGCAGGAGCCATCCGTTTCCACGCCGTCCTGGCTGGCTCAGTGGTTTCAGGCCTCGCTGTAGTTTCCAAAGCACTGAGCGCCGGTGATAGAAAACGAAAAGGTCGAAAACAGATGTCCAGCAGTGATTCCCAAGTTAATTGTAAAAGAAGTCTATAATGTTGGCTTAGATTTTCAACTTCGATGAAACAGATATTTACTGTAAACACCTGCTTCAAAGGCCCTATCTCTCCAAGGCAGAAACACATGCCTCAGGATAAAAGGCTGGAAAGATTGCTTGCCTTTGACAGTGTCAAGGAAAACCGAGGACAGCGGGTCCTACCCGTTCCCCACGGGTGTCACACTTTCCACCGTCCTCGAGGACACGGAGGCTGCAGCCCCGCCCAGCCCCCCGTTCGCAAGCCCGCTTCAGGTCATTTCCAAGGTAAGGTGCTGTGCTCATTTTCCTATGTTTGTGTTTATGAGCCGTCTATCATGTTAAAACTGCCACCGTTTTCGCTCGGGTGCTGTCTGTTTTGAACGTGTCCCTGGTATTTAGTTGTTTCTGGGCCCCATTTACTCCCGTAAGCCCGGTGCTGTTTATTGAGTGGTTTTGTGTCCAGCAGTGGTTTTTAGGAACACAGATGTCACGTTGAAGCGCAACGGACTGTATCTGCCAATGGTTTGTCAGCTGCGTTACTTGGTGATTACTCAGTAATCTCGGCGCGTGGCCCCGAGTGACTCCGGGTGGAGTGTAGGGGGGAGCCAGTGTTAATATTTTGAGGAGCCTCACGTTTATGTATTAACTGACTTTTTATTATGTAGTTTTCCAAACATACACAAATGTTCCTTCTTTAAATGTTGAAAATATCTACCTGGAGCTCATCGTGTAAGAGAGTCCAGGGACTGGCAGTCAGGAAAGGACGCTAGGGCCAGCATCAAAAACCCAGTTAGGGGGGACTTC